ATAGGTGCACCTTTAAATTTTATCATGGTATATAATTTTGATGTAAAATATTTTTAGGATTATCTCAAAATACATTTTTATATCTAATTATAAGATTTTAAATTTCAAAAATGAAAATCAAATAAATCTATAAACATATGAAAATCCTGAAAGTGGACGGTGTAGATAATATGTTGTAAAATACATTATTTCTGAGACTTAAAATCTTTTTATTTTTCATTATTCATATATCTCGATATCGAGGTGATCAATCAAAGGGTTTTTCAATATTAAAACCAACTTTTTCGATGGATTTTTGAGGCGCATCCGTATTTCTACATTATAAGGTATGCCCATTCCGTATTGTGGCCATTGGCTTATGCTGTTTTAGGGTATACTTCCATAGATATAAGATTTTGTAAGCCGAAGAGCTTACATTGTAGCCCACGCTCGATGACTCATATTGAAATATTCTTTTCCAACAACATGGCTTACGCAAAATGCTATTAGATTGTGTTTTTGAAAGGTATTTTTTTTATAAAAATGGTTTGATAGGGCTCTAGCTCTATCAATATAACTAAAGCCTCATCTTATAACTCATCGAATATTGCAATTCAAGAATTGATAAAACTTTGCATAGATCATCTCGGCTAGAACATTATGGTTGTGAAACAAAACTACGATTTCAAGCTCTAAAATTAGCTGTATATTGTAACAAATTATTATAGATTGTCCATCTCGCCCTAAAAATAAGTGTTTATAGATCCTCAAGATCTGTAACATTCTTTTAGTTTCAAAATTTATTGTTGATATTGAAAATTGATTTTAGAGCCATCATGAAGATTTCCGTCACCGAAAGTGCTTTCCAAACGAAGATTGGAAGTGAGGCTTTATTTTGCTTGCCTTATAAAAACTTCATCCTTTTTTTTTAATCCATTGCAAATGAACCTCAAGATATAGTCTCACCTACTCGACGTACTCATCTTGTACACTCAATGGGCCAAATTGACGTTGGATGACCAAAATGTGTCTTTAGCTTTCTTTTACAAATTATTTTTATATGAAATATGGGACATAATAATATCAAAACATGGTGCATTCAGTAAATATAAAAATTCTTTAAAACAAAATTAACCAAAATGCTCCCCCTGAAATTTTGAGTTGTATTTTGGTTGATGTTTTTTATTAGTTGGATTTTTTGTTTTATTGAAGCATCTTTGTTTTGATATAGGCACGCCACAAACTTCAAAAATAATAAAAAAATAACTTCAAAAATAATAAAAAAATAAATAAAAGATGTAGTCAATTCGTGGTTGTCCAATTGGTCGAGATTAAATCTGGTTGTGGGTTACATATGGCTACAAGGGTAGTTCTACAATACTTTATTCATATCTCATCATTGTCCAAAATTCATCACACGGTCACACAGTCACAACTGTCTGATAGTATTTGAATTTCAATAATTTTTTTATAAATTATATTTATGTGAAATTTTGTTGATGTGTGCACCTTAGCGAGGCACATCTAAATCAAGCATAAGAAAATTCGGATGTTAGAAATGACCAACATACCCTATGAATGTTTCAGGGGTATTTTCATCTTTTGAAAACTATTTATTATATATTTTATTTTAGTATGTATGCACCAAATTTGAGATAAATATATTTTGTATAGAAATTATTAAAATTCAAATACTATTACACGACCGTGACCATGTGATAGATTTTTTACAGTGATGAGTCGTTACTAAAGTATCGTAAAACATCACCTATAAAATGAGTTAACCCTGGCCCTATCCTAGTCCTATTCCCCATAGGGCACGCTCTACCCCAACTTGGCCCTGACAAAGTAAAAGAGGCCTTGGCCCATGCCCGGCCCTAACCCTCAAAGGCAAATCAGATCAAGCTTGAAAAAATAAAAAAATAAAAAGGAAAGAAAAATGAGGGCTTGGTTTGGGCCAGCCCTTTCATGGTCATAAACTTGGCCTAGCTTTCCCCTAGTGCGCAGCCCTAGCACACAACCCTCGGGCCACATTTTGTAGTCCAAGCCCTAGTTTTTCAGGATTGGACTGGACCAACCAGCACATTGAAACTTCTAATGGCCATTGTATATGTGGAGGTTGAACTAGGGTTGAAGAGCACATAATGTTCCCTTAGAAGTTTAGCTCTACAGGGATTATATACTATAAGACCATTTATCTTCAATATAAAGAGGTCACAATCACCATTAGCTGTCATATTTCAAATTTGATAATGTCGGATGCATTTCAAAGTTCAGAAAATTTTTCCTTGAACTTTGAGCCTAGTTAATAGCATACCAAGAAATGCCTAATTTCAAATCTAACAACCAATAGTGATTGTGACATCCTTGTATCAAAAGTAAATGGTCTTAGTGTATTTTTTCGTTCCATCCTAATGACATAAAAATCGGAGGTAAAACGACATCCCAGTTTTTTCCTGGACTTCGGCTATTTGCCAGTTACCCCATGTTTAACATGAAAAATTTCAAAAAACAAGATTTACGACCCATTTATTAAACATGTTATTGCATTATCTCTCCCCTTTTTTGAACTGAATGTTTCAAGTTGTTTTGTCTTTGAGTTTACTATTAAACTTCTATAGCAATTTATTGGATCAAAATACACAACAAAAGATATTGAAATCCAGATTGCAGGTGTTTTTTGAAACAAAGAGAAAGAATCATCAACTTCTGTTTCGCTGTTTCACCAAATTTGTTCAAATTTATCCCAAAACTTTTCTAATACATTGATATATAAAAGCCCTAACAATTTGTTTCAAATGAAAACGATAAAATCAAACTTCATTTTTTCCTCTATTTTCTTCCTAAAGTGTTTTTTTTTTTTATATATATATTATTTGATTCTGATTTACACATTTTCTCTATGTTCATCCAGACTATCACTGAAAAACAATTTATTTTCATGGTTAGCAACCAACATGAGACAGAAAAAGGACAAAGAGAAATACCTGAATTGGTTGGTGGGGGCGAGGCTTCTGGATTCAGGGCAGTTCTCACAAACCAATTCAACATCACTACCTTCTCCTCTCACCAGACCATCTCTCTTCCGATAAGCTGTAACAAAGACTTGGGCAATTCCAGTGAATGGGCTCCCATCCCCCATCACAGCGAGCCTGTAACTCCTCCTCCCCAAAATAAACACCAAAAGAGCAACAGCCATGGCGATCGCAGGGATCCCAAACCCTAAACCCCATCCGATATCGTCCTGAATGTACATAACCAAAGACACAGCAAGGAGGCCACCTCCACATACACCCATGTACCACCAGTTGAAGAATGAGCTCTGCCATTTCTTTTCCTCTGTGTTTTCTTCGTCGAATTGGTCAGCCCCAAAGGCCTGCACGCATGGCTTGTGACCACCCTGGCCGAAGGCTACAAGGTACAGAGAAAAGAAGAAGAATCCCACTTGGAAGCTTGACACGCATGTTTCAGTCCCCAATTTGTTGTCGTTCGCGCAGGAATTGGGACGAAGAGACGGGGGGATGGCCGAGAGGGTCAATAGAACAAGGCCCTGCAAGGAATTCAGTCACTTTCCACCGAGAAAGAACTTAGAGAGAGATAGAGAGAGAACTGACCAATAGATAAATTAGGGAGGAGATGATGATGGTCTTGTATCTACCGAGATACGAATCTGCAACGAAGGCCCCAAGAAGAGGAAGAAGGGACGCAACACCAGACCAGGCATTCACATTCTTGGCGGCTGTGACTGTGCTCTGGTTCAAGTAATCAGTGAGGTAGGTTATAAGATTCGACGAAGCCCCATAATACGCAAACCTCTCTGAAACTTCCACCCCTGAAATGGGAGAACAATTAAAGAGGTATTTATATTTCTATCAATTTCTGCCATTATAGGAGAAAAGAGAAGCTATGAATTTGGAGAATTGCATAGAAAAGAATGCTGGAAAATAAAGAATTCAAAAGAAAAAAGAATGGTAGCTAATGGATGGAATTGGGGGATTACAGATGATGTATAAGGAGGATCTCCATCCTCCAGTCCTGGATCTGATAGCTGGTAAGCCATTCACATCTGTTACGGCTTTCACAATATCGTCTTGGTTCATTAATGGGGTGGTTGCAGAGGCACGCATCTTGAGTTCAGGTGAAGATGTGCCGCTGGCCAACTGGAAATTAAAGTACAGATGTGTGGGTGGCTGGCCTGTAAATGAGGGTGAGGTTTGTATACGGTGTCAACGGGGCGTTGAAAAAACGGATCGGTGATCCTGATTGGGTATCTCAAAAATCTATATGGATCAGCGAATCGACGATCCTGATCGGAAATCGACTGAATCTGTCGGATTAAGTTTTAAAAAAATTTCAAAAAAAGTATTAAAATTCTTTATAAATATTATCTTTTAGGAATTCAATAAAAAATGAGGGTACTACATTATTAACTTTTATTTTTTTCATCAATTTGTGAATATTGAGATGCTCTTTCCCTATATAAACTTATGTTAACCATTAAATTTGCATCACATAAAAGAAAAATCATAGAATTATCATGGATAAAATATATAATTATACATGGACTATTATAAAGAGTAGACTAAATAAATGAAAAAATTGCCATTAAAATTTTTTTGGCAAAAAACCCTAATCCGCTAAAAAAACCCAAATTATTACAACCTAACTAATTATAATATTATATACTTAAATTATAATTATTAGTTTACATTTTATAATTATTTTATTAGGCAAATAATAATAAATTAAAAATATTTTATGATATTATCTAATTTAAAATGTATTATTAACAACTGTAAGAAAAATAGTACATTACATGATTTATAATGTAAAAATTAATAAATAAAATAAAAAATTTGGTTATCAATGTAAAAATTAATAAAATGCGTACATTAAATGATTTTATTTTTTATTTTTTTATGCCTTTCATATTGCCCAAGGGAATTTGACCTTAGGACGTCAAAGGAAATAGCAGAGGTCATAACCATCATGCCGCCTCACGATATGTGATTATAAGTTGCTGATTAATAGAATATATTTACATTCTTTTTTCATTTAATGATATTTAGAAATTATCCCACATCGAAGGATGAGTATTCAACTTTGCTATATAAATACCTATGTAATATGAAATAAGGCATACGCGCGGAAACATTGAGGCAACCTCACACATGATATGTGGTACATGATTTTGTCGTGCGTCCGTGTTAAAGTGGTGACGTCTGCACGTGTCTATGTAGAATCGGAGTGGTGATGTCAGAACTACCGGTTGATGATGTCATCTGGCGGTTTACTGTTTAAAATTGTTTAAAACCGCCCGGTTCTCTCTAGACTCGCATCCGTGTCGGAGTGGTGACGTCTGCACGTGTCTATATAGAATCGAAGTGGTGACGTCAGAACCACCGATTGATGATGTCATCGGGTGGTTTACTGTTTAAAACCGCCCGGTTCTCTCTAGACATGGGCGGTTCCTGTTTTATGTGTGGAACCAGCTCGTTCTGTGGCGATTCTTGGGCGAGTCCGGCTCGACTCGGTGTTTTTTTAAACCCTGGTGTCAATGTTATACTATTGATATAAGGTGCACCTTCAAAAGTAGTTTTTGGTGCCGCAAAACTCTCTGGGAAGATATGAAAATCTATTGTTGCCCTTGCTTATGGAATTTAAAATTCCAGAAATATTACGATCATCTAAATTTATGCATATCTAAAAATTTTAAAAAATGGATGGTCCAGATAATATATTAGAAGATGAACCATTTTTAGGATTACAAATCCCTTTTCTATTTTTTTCCCTCCTTTTTTATGTAAATCTCAAAATCGAGATCATCAACTTGAGTTTTCCAGCATAAAAACAACTTTCTCTAGTGACTATGGTGCACCTTACTTGTATAGTATAAGGTTGACACCTTATATAAACTCTTTCCTTTACCATAATGAGATATTGAGATCTCACTGATCGAACAGTTGATTTATTGCCTTAAAAATATCTCAAACAAACAATTGAAGTCCAACTTGCATCTTTCCTTCTGACAAAACAGCAGACAAAAATTTAAGGAAAAAATAGAATACCTTAAATTATTTCCATGCCAAGTAGGAGAATCCAAAGCAAAAGGAAAATGATTGTAGGGGACCCCCTTAAAACAAGTGACTTTATGCAACCCAACAAACCTTCAGGTGGGTCAAAAGAGAAAAATAAGAGATATGGGTCACTAACTTGATAACCCAGAAAGCCCGTTTCCTCACTTTCTAACAACCCTATCGGACTAAGAGAGAGAGAAAAGAAGAGAAACAAAGGGTCTGAAGCTCTACAATGCAGCAGTAAACCCACAAGAGAAAAGAAGAAAAAAAATGGAAAGTCAGTAAATTCATGAGAAGAAACTGAAAAAGGAATGGAAAAAAAAGAGCTCGAAATTCTCGGTATGTTAAGTAATAGAGGTAAGAGAACAGATTGATGCAAGGCTCTTTCACATATAAATCTCCCAAATGAGTGCTCCTCATGCATTTCGATCTCGAGCCCTACTCTTGCCACTATACCCCGCCGTCCAACTCAAGGTATTCGTCGTACACAAGGATGAGATCTCTCTCTCTTTGTACACCGCGCAGGAAGAAGTAGATTTCATTTCGTTCATCAAATATCAGCAAAAACTAACTGTTACATCAATGTTCTATATATAAAAACCAGTTCTCTGTGGCTAAAAAATAACCAAAATGCCCCTAACATAGTATGAAAATGATGGGACTCCTCATTTCCCATGTCTCAACTTGCTCCTGCAGCCTCAATGCACCCAAGTTGCCATGTAGTGAAACTACACATATTTGACCTTTGGACTCATGGAAATTTTTACACAATAAATTACTTGTTTCTACACCAAATTCCCTAAATCTTGACAAATCCAAAAATGGACTAAACTAACAAAAAAATAATGACAAACTCATCCTGGGGCCAAAATAAAGAGAATAATAAACACGTCCCAAGGCCAAAACTAAACATTGACAAATACATCCTGGTGATTAAAAAGATCCTGAAAATGACAATCGCATCTTGATGCCCAAAAAACAACTTAAAAATGACAAACATATCACGAGAGTCAAAAAGCTTTTAGATGCAATTTTCACTGTTCTCCCCGGTTGGAGTAAACTTGATTCCATTGAGTAGTCGTCACCATGATACTTAGATAGGTATTGCACATTGAAGATTGGGGGAATATTCTACCATTTTGGCAACTCTACTTCATATGTATTATCATTTATTTTCTTTTTTATTTTACAAGAGCCAATCTTCTTTGCTTTGAACTTGCCATAGGATGGGAAATTGCTCCAGCTTGAGATACACCATAATAAGGTCTCCAACTTTGAACAACTACAAACATCAATAGCGAGTCATGGCATCTTGATACTTGGTGTAACTTTTCTCCATCAAAGAAAATTGTCGCTTTTACGTCTCCGAGTATGCCCACTAACTAAAGACAATGTACGAGTGTCAGCAGCAATCGAGCGCTTTCTTTTCTTACCCCTTGCTGGAGTAGGAGCTGCCGCTTCAGATTCACCTCTCGCAGAAGGCCCTCCAGCCAATTTACTATGAGGGCCGCTCCTTATTAGAGTGTTCAAATCTTGTGGGGGACACTTCTCATAACCAAGGACTTGTCGCCCCTCATCCCATTCGAAGAGGGAGCTAAGATTATCAAAGATGCTCCCAGTCCTCGTCTTCATCACAAGAAACTCTGGTGAGGCCTCATCAGCTGCTATCTCATGTGGGAGCCTTAAAGCCCGCCAGTCGAAGGGATAATCCAAGAAAAGCACCGCGTCGGGAGCAGAAGCATCTACCAGCCTCCTTTGTATGGTGTACTGGCACCAGTTACCATTCACCCCTTTCCAAAGATGATCCCTATCCCAATAGCCCTTACTGGTGATTCTCCACCAGTTTACATATGCCTTGGTTGTTTGAACTCTCTTACCAAAGTGAGGTAGCACATATTTGCTAGTCTCTGTCATTTCAAGACACATAGACTAAGCGGTCTGTATGTCCTCCAGCAGCCAACACTCTCAGAAAGTTCCAAACTCTTCTCCCTTCCCCTAATACACCTTACTTTGGTGCTTTTTGAAGAAAACCGAGAAGGGACAACCTTGGTCAAGCTCGTGCTGACGGGCGAAGGGGTGGGAGAAATACCCCTCTAGCCGGGCACCGTGAGGAGTCCGATAAGGTAAGACACCCCGTCTGATGCTCAGTATGAACATGAGTTCTTTAATTTTCGTGGGAGCACTATCCAGTTCCTTCCCCAATTCATCGGTGAAGCTCCCGACCGAAAACGGAACCCACCTCATGTTCAAGGAATCATTCCCAAATATGCCCTGAGCCTCCCCTGGGGTGTGAAACATAGCCCTCTAGTTTGCTATCCTCATTAAGAAAGGCCACAATTTATTCCCTAAGCACTGATGTTTGACATAGGTATCAGGGAAATAAGCCCCCAGCCACCCGTACACATAATGCACAGGGAATGGAGTTTTAAAGTCTCCGGGAAAAGTTTCTCCTCCTACGATGTCGTTCCCTCCCTCTTTGCCCTTGTAGGCCTTTTCATAGGAGGTGGTCCCCCAAACCATGGTATATATTGCACAAAACTTGCTGAGCAAGGGCATGCTCATGCCCTCTGGTGATGTCACAAGCCACGTGTAGTACCCCTAAACAAATGTCATCCCTCCATCTAGGAATCACAAATTTACACAAGAACAAGGCCAAGTAGGCAGCCAAGAAAACACAATCATCACCAATCTCGAGTTGATATATGGGAGGCGTCTCTTTGCAACTGCCTTCCCTTTCCCCTTCAGAGTACCGTGACCGCCCTTGGGATAATCCCCATAAAAGAATCTCACCCATTCTATAAAGGTGACCCTACCATTAGTAGAATGGCAGACAATAGACTGGTAGGCCTCAAAGATCTTTGGAAGACTGGCCAGTGGCTCTTCATCTCCCAAGTTCTCATCACCAAAGATGACTGAGTTCGGGGGCATGAACTCGTCATACATGGCCCCAATCATCGGGAGACCTCCAATAAAGTAAAGATCTAGCAAAGAGACTCCCACTTCTTCATGACCAAGAAGCCAAGTATTTAGCTCCATGTCTTTAGCAATACCTTTACTGTATTGGAGCAACGGTCGTAGTAGCTGCCCGAACACTGAACCGCT